GGTGGGGGGGGGGGGGGGGGGGGGGCCTGCGCCGGAGAGAGGCAAAAAGTCATGGGGAAGGCACCGTGGAGCTTGCTGGACAGCTCTAGGGGCGGGTGGAAGCTGGGATGGAGGGCTTGGGGGCAAATCCGTGAAAAGAGACAAAACCCCCCCCACCAAAACCTCAAAATAGCTGAGGGAACGAGAAGAGGCACCGAGGGGCCAGGGGGAGAGACACTCGTTGGTCCCCTGGCAAGCGCTGGAAGTGTAGGTGTTTTCACTGAGAAACAGGACTAAACTCCGCAAACTACGGTAGCATTTCACTGAGAAATTAACAGATTTGGGCATTTTTTAAATAAAAAAACCCAAGCAGGTTGTGCGCTGGTCTGAAGTTGGATTTAGACCACAGAGGCCGATGGTGGGACGTGGTGCCCGCTCCGGGGACAGCCCTGCTTCTCCAGCCGCTCCTGTCCGACACATTTCTGGGCAAGAAAAGACCAGAAATTGTCAGTACAGAAGCAGACCAGAAGTTAAAAATATCAATAAAGTAAAACAGCAAAGTAGGAAATTCTGCTGCCTTGGAGAAGTGGGGAAAGAGCTGAGGGGGAAGAACAAGCGATCCTCTTGGGTTTGGCTTTCCCTGGAACTGTCAGAAATTCAGGTGATGGGGGAAAGAGAAACAGCAAGCATCCATTTATGAAGATATCCATCGTTCTGATTTGGGACAATTAAATGAGCTGGGAGATAACGACCAGATAATGCTTGCACTGGGACTGTGTTGACAAGCAGTTAGTATCTAGAAATGCTTATTATGGCACCCGATAAATTGCTTTACATAATATAGGTTACATTAATGAAAGATGGTTTTGTGTCTCCAGCTGTTTAAATAGAGATTTGGGGATTCTTCTACAAGGAATGGCAAGGCCAAGTAAAAGCACAGATTTTAAAGCACAATTAATCTACCCTAATTTTTTTTAAGTTACAAGTTTTTTACATGTCCCATTCACTTTTAGAAGATGCTGATTTACTTTAAAAATGCAAAATAAATGCATGCAATGTTAGCTTAATATTTGTTTGTTTCACGAATTATGAAAAATAGTTCTAAAAATTGTAGATATTCCACTGCAATGTCCCTTAATCTAGTGCATTTTTGAAAGATGTATTTAAAATAGCACTCAGAACTGTCTTCTGGTGCTTTTTGAGTGATGCAATGAATTTACAGCTAACAGGAAACGCTTCTTCCCATACAAGGGAAATAGAATAGCAGAAGTCAGACTATTCACAAATACCATGAAATCTTTGTTACCAGGTACAGGAATGTTGCAGAGGTCCTCGATATTAAATAAAGGCAAGAATGTCTCTTGAAGCATGAAATCCTAATGTGCTTCTGCGACTATACCTGGAAAATTTACTTCACTTTATTGCTCTGTGAATATTCTACCACAGGAACTGTCTTGCATTTGGGGACCTCTCCTACCACTGAAATTTGGTAAACCCAAATATAGGGTACGTATGGGAGGACATCAGTCTGCGGAGGAGAGCTGTAACACCGCTGGATGTTAGCTTCACTTAACTTTCTGTAGTTTGAGAGAACTTGTATAACAAAGCTGTTTATTTCTCAAGACATTTAGATGAGAACATCTGTTTATAAACACACACTCAGATGCTTAATTACAGCTGGATTTGCATGGTAATGGGCAGGACGTTCCTTCTCTAATGAATAATTCCATCTCTTAATATCATCTTTTATCCAAAAGGACCCAATTTTAGATCGCTATACAGAATTTATTCACCAGCATCGGCCAGGGACACCGTACAACAGTGCAAAAGAGTGAGCAGAGGACATCTTACAGGCTTTTCCTGCCGGGAATACTGAGGCAGGCCAGAGTGCAATATGTGCAGAAGTGGGATCTGGCCAGGGCAGAATGATTCACATTCTTACTGTCCTGAAGGATGTTCTTCACTTGTTGCTAAGCGCAGCAGCATTCATTGCAAGGTCATTGTTGGTAAAACTCAGGATTTGTCGGTAAACTGTGTAGCACCGGTCATGTTCAAATAGAAAGTTAGATTTGTTCATTGTCTTCAAGCTGCTACAATACATGTGAATGCTGCCTCTTAGATTTGTTCCCTTTTAAATGTTTGGTATTGAACTGAGCAGGTGAAAAACCACAGATATTTTCTCCTTCCAGTGTATAAAGCCAGGCAAAGAATATTACTGATTCTCACTTCTTTTAGCTACAAGTGCTACTGAAACAGAACGAGTGCAAAGCCTGCAGGAGGACACACGGCAGTGTCAGAGGAATAATTCTGCTACGTGGCTTTGGACAACTCTTTCTGGCTTCATGCGAGTTATCCCAGGTGACTGAACAACCCGAACATACCATCTCCCTTTGTTCTCCTTCAAACAGAAATGTTCCCCAGGGCACTCCTACATTGTAAAAATAAATGTAATGTAAAAACTTGGTAAGCGTGCATGTTTTGGCTAACATTTTACAATAGTAACATGCTACCCCGTACATAACAACTTAAAATGCATTATATGATGATGGCCAGAGTTAAATAAAACCCATCTTTGCTAGTTTATAAAAAAGTATGAAGTAAGTTAGGCTTTAAAAGACGTGCGATTTTTGTTACTGTTCAACTAAATGTTTCGAAGGTGATGAAGTTGACTGGCTGAAAGTCTGTGGCTTGCGTTATGCTGCTGATTATTCTGTTCCCTAAAAATCTATGACTTTCTTAAACAAATGGTATTGACAACTCTTCTTGGAACATAATCAACCTTTGAAATAATTTAATTACCAAATATGAGTTTTCTATTTCTTGAGTTCAACCTGTTTTATTTTACATTCACTTTTAAAATACATAAGTGCTTATTATGGTCAGATGAAAATGAAGGTGGTGTTAGGTTTTAGAAGCAAGTGCACTGTTGTTACAAACTGTACTCAAAATCCTCTGTTAATAGATTTCCCAACCCTGATATCAAGATATCTTGACACTGATCAGAAAGCATGCCTCATA